CATTCCATCACTAAATTTTTTGATATGCATCTCTAAACTATAAGGACTTCTGCTTACATAACCATGAACTGGTATCACATCTAACAAAATTAACAATAATTTCTCAATATCACCTAATTATCTACCCCATATTCTAATTTCTCTGCTTATATCCAAAATGGCTGGATGTTTTGCAATGAGTTTTCTTCATGAGTCATATCCCTTAATTGGGGCTTCCCTGGTAGGTCAGACAGTAAAGAATCCGCCCGCAATGAAGGACACCAGGGTTCAATCCCTGGATCAGAAAGAACCCCTGGAGAAGGGAATGGCTACAGTATTCTTGCCTGGAGAATCCCATGGACACAGGAGCCTGGCAGGCTACCCCTAACTCCTGATCCATTCTTATTTCTTCTGTTCCATGGAAATTATAAACAAAACAGGAAAAGATATGCTTAAGAAAGCAAAGATGAAAGGGGAAATTGACTGATTAATCAATTAACTGATATTTACATTTTCCTGAATACAGGAAGAAATAGAATATCAAAGGCTACATGAAGTTAACTCCTTTGATTAAATGAAGGAAAATTATATCAGCAATTTTGATAAAGTTTTTTACTAACATGTCACTTTCCTTTAGCTTTACATTAGGGAAATTTTAATCTTACCTAGCATGAAGCTACTTTGAAAACTAATTGAAAGAGGTTTTTGGGTTTCCCTTGTGGCTCAGCTGGTAAAGAATCCACCTGCAATGTGGGAGACCTGGGTTCAATCTGAGTTGGGAAGATCTCTGAGAAGGGAAAGACTACCCACTCCAGTATTCTAGCCTGGAGAATTCCATGTCCATGGTATTGCAAAGAATCAGACACAACTGAGTGACTTTCACTTTCACTTTCACACTTGGAAGAGTGAAATTATATGTAGTAATCTGGGAAATATTTTCAAGAAGTTTTCTTTCTCTTTAGTCTTAAAATATTCTATTAAATCTGATTACAAACAACTGAAACTTTGGATTAACACTGAACCTTATATCCTTTGTAGGCAGAAAGTCACAGCTGCAAATATGAATGAGGCTAGCTTGTTTAAGACTGTTCAATATATCAGCCAAATGTTTTACCTTTATCACTTTCATCTCAGGCTAGAGGCTAAACCTTGTACTTATTAAACAACATATTAACACTTGTTGATAGATAGCTAGTCAATGGCAGTAGGAACACTATGATATTCTGTTGTCTTTTAAAATATGAATTACACTAAATCTTCAGCACCTATATTAAGCAGCAGTTTCCAATTTTGTAGAGTCACTATAAGCCTGAGTGTTTGATTTCATCACAACTCCTAAATATGAGTGAAAATTAATTTTGTCTATAAGAAAAAAAAATGCAATTCCTGTTAAGATAACTAGAGATAGCAGGATTGGGGATATAAATCAGTATGGGATGCTGTCTGATGGAATTATTGTTTGATTCTCTAATCAAGGTATCAAGACCAACCTGCAGTAACTTCAAGTGAGAGGAGCCTTTATGGAACTGGTTAAAGTAGAAATCCTGGAAGGGTACATAAAGTTAGTAGTATGCAATCAAGGTTATCATTAACTTACAAAAAACACAGGGCTTCTTGCACCCCCATTCATTTGTGCTGTGAGCCAATGATAAAATGGGATTGAGGAGAAGACCAACTTTGCAGGTTCCGGCCTCTCTATTTCCAACCATTAAGACTCTGGTCTCCATGGCTCAGTTCTGCTCAACCACCTTCCCAGAAATGGCCCCAGGCTTTCTCCCTAGTCACATGCAGAGTCCATAAAGGGTTTAAAAGTTCTTACCATCACCAAGAGTAAAGGATTACAGTACTGTTACAAAACATCAAACTTTCTGTTCATCTCCACCTGACACCTTGAAACCTCAATGTCCTATTCCACATGCGCTCTTCTGACCAAATCCTGGCAGTTATTCTCAATCCTTGCTTAATATAGTTTCCCCACTAAGACATTTTACACTTGTCAGAGGCAACCCCACCTGCTACTCCTGCCTGTTGTCCTTTATCAATTTGAGCCTCAGTCTTATATCTCATTTTTTTCCCCATATACAGTCCAATCTCACCTTCTCTCTCTGCCCCTCATACCCTGGTTGGTATTCATAGGTAGCATCCTAAACAACACCTGAGTATTTTCAATAATCAGGAAAATGACTGTACAAGGTGAGTTCCCATCCTGATAAGAACTTCCACCACCAAATATTCTATTCCTCTACCCTCTCAGTGCCATCTTCTTCACCAGCTCCACTTTATAGGTCTGGAAGCAAAAAATGCATTATTCTGCTAGTGGCAAGAGAGTCACTTAGAGATTGCACTTCATGAGTCAGAAACTCCATCACAGGGTAACAACTGGGTAACAACTCATCGTAAATGGGTATAGGAGAGTTCTTCCAACACCTATATAAGCCTCTACTTTCTGGTAACAAGAGAGAACAGACCACTACGCCAGTCCTCATCCTATGGAAGGATATCACTAGACCTATGGTCATCAGAGAATCAGGGTTTAATCTGTGGACCAGATGGTTATGGTGAGAAAGCCTGCACTGGGATGCAAGAACAATGGCTCATTGTAATCCAAACTCATTAATCTCTGCATTCACCTAGAGAGAGTCACTGAGATAAAGAAATCGAAGATTGGTAAGGGGAAAATCAGCTTGGCCAGCTGGCTAGTGCCTAGGTTGATCATGACAGAAACAAAAAAGAAAGATTAATGCACTGGTTGCACATGAACACAGTTACAGGCTGAATCCAAAGAACAGGATGAGTATTTGTCACAGCAAGGCTACTAGGTCAGGGATGTCCCTTCCACAAAGCCCTCTTCACTTCTTCATTTTTTTCATAATCCTAAAAACCGTTTGTTTTCATCATAGCAAACTCTGTTTAGAATAGATATATGTCAAAAGAAGAACAGTATGATCATCTTTAAATGAGGAGGTGTATAGCAGTATAAATCAGGGACTTCCTAAATACAGAAGTTAACTTTGACCAAAGTATGAGCCAAATAAATGTTGACTGGTAAGCACAAATCAACCTACTTATAAACTTAAATACATATGATTCCTCATACTATCTTGAACTCAATGAAAAAAAACAAAACAAAACAAAACTTAAGAGTGGGTGGCTTAGACAAGAAAAAATATTTCCTGACAATTCTGGAGGTCAAGAGTCCAATTAGTAAAGTGTAGTCAAGATTGTTTTTTCTGAAGCCTCTCTCCTTGGCTTATAGATGGCTGTCTTCTCCCTGGATTTTCAAATGGTTTTCACTCTGGATGTGTCTGTGTCTTACTCTCTTCTTACAAAGACAAAAATCGTATTGGACTAGGACCACTCTAATGATCTCATTTTAATTATCTCTTTAAAGATCTATCTCTAAATATAGTCTGGAGTACTGGAGCTTACAACTTCAACATACGGATTTTGAGAGGACACAATTCAGTCCATAACAGTTACTATTCCAAAATATTCTATATTATATGTTTTATAAGAAAAATGCACATTTTTATGATTGATAATGGAAATATAGTGTCATTTGTGTTTTCTTTTGTAAGTGCTAATGACATGAGAATATATTCTTTTCCTATTTAAAACATTTCCTAATTGTATCAGCTAAGGAAAATAAAAGATACTTCTTCCTATCAATTATAATTATTGCAAAAGCTAGTTCAAAAAAAAACACAGCAACTGTTTTATTCTAAATTCCAATGTATGATTATTTTCTCTATATTTTCACTACTTAAAAATGCAGCTATACTTACTAATAAAACTATTATACTTACTATTATACTTACTATTAAGTTTAAACTATTAAACTTATTGTCACAGGTGATTCTATTCTTCAGCAATGTTTTCCCTGATATTTCCAAAGGTATACATATTAATTTATTTTATTTTTTAAGATAAAAATGAACCAATAAGACAATTAGAAAATCAGAAAATGTTTACACATTTTATAGGCTAATAGCACAGCAGAGACTTTCTTAATTAAACATGAAAAAATCTAGAGATAGCCTTATAATGGCTCTGATCATTTGGTATGAGAAAGTTTACTGGTCTGGAAAGCAAGAGAGGATCTTTGAATTGCTTCAAAAGCAAAGTCACATCTCCATACAACAGGTCAAAGAAATAATTACAGCTTACATATAGCTTTGACATATTTTGCCTATTGCCATAGGGGCAAGGAAAGTTTCTCCAGTGAATACAATGGGGTTATGACTATAGCTTAGCAAAAGATGTAAAAATGATTATGATGTAATTAAAAGCTGCAGAATGGTTAATTTTTTGTCAATAAATCTGCCAGAATAGATTTTTAGAAAATGACAAGGTAAATGATTTTGAGAATTTTTTTCTGTGTGATATCAGAGACAGACTCATCTCAGCTTATGAAAGAAGCAGTGATGGGCAAGAAAGATATATATCCTATCTCCAACTCCAGTCCCAAGTAGTGATAAGTGAGAAAACAGCCACCACTTGGAAGAGCAGCAGGTATAGAAATATTTCTGATGGGAAATCCTTTCCAAAGTCAAATCTAAGTCATGCAAGGATTTACAATTGAGAAAGCACAATTTTTGAAAAGGTAAAATCATAATTATCATTCAAATATTTGATGATACATGTCAAAGATTTTATGTATCTAATTAATGACAAGATCAGTAAAACTGGTTCAAAGGAGAATCTGAAGAACAGACTTACACATGGATCACTATGTACCCTAAATGCTGAGATAATTGGCTAGTATACACAAAACTGGTTACTATCCTATTTGACACAAAAACATGTTTTGGATTATCTTTTATATAAAACAAATTAATCATATTCAAACTGGACAGAGTCTATTAGCATTTCTAAGGAAAAGAATCATTTGCATTCCTATCAGTTTTCTACAAATTAACTTCTACCTCTACAATGTTATAAAATGGCCTGGAAAGAGAATTAAATATGCAAAGCCTTACAAAATCAGATAATTCTAGGAAGGTCTGCTTGATAACACCTACCACGTCACTGAACAGACACTCAGGAATCTCTTCTGCCCATCTGAGATCTTTGACAATTTATTCTGACACAGTTGAATCAATCAACCTGTTGTCACTGTATTCCTGGCACAGTAGAACCTTAGACAATAGACATAAAAACTATCAGTGTGTGGGATGAGCACTCATGAAAGAAAGATATAGTTTCTAATAGAAAAAATAAGTATTTACCTATTTTAAAGAGTAGACTCTGAACTCTTTCAGAGATTAAACAATTTTGAGGACGAGTGGATGTCTCACTTCTTCATACTCTCAGTGATCTGCACACACAGCCCAGTCATTCCTAATCTAGGCTACCCTTCAACATGACTAGAGGAGATTTTCTGTTTTGTTTTGTTTAAACATAGTCACTCTGATCCTGCTGAAATCTACTGAATCAGGTTCTCCAGGCACAGAATCCAAGTCTCTGGACTGTTTTAATGACGCTGACGTGTGACCACAGGAAAGACACACTGCTGATTGATAGAAAAGAAAAGGTTCAAAGAAGTTATTTCTGAAATTGTTGTGCAGGAGCCCAGAGCACAAACTCATGGCTGACTTTAGCTGCAACTATCCTATCAAAGGCAAAGTATCACTGTATTTTCTTTTCATGATCACTATAAATTCTCTCCTCTAACCATCATAATTATAGTCAACAGTAGATAAATGTGTTGATTACCAGAGAAGCCCAGGAAAGAAACTTATTCCATGCTCTACAACTTTAATTAATTTTATATTCTGTACCAGCTAACTCTTCTGAATAACCTCTCAAGTTCTTCCAAGTTTATTACACTCAGGTAATAAAACCCTAAAATGTTTACAGTATATTTATTTGCACCATCAGATTTTATCAATTAAGAATTTCTTTGAGTTACTTACTATCACTATCATTGAGTATTAGAAGGACTATACCAAGTTCATCTTGGAGGGGATTTGCCAGAATTAAGCTATTATTTTCTTTCAACCATGTGCAATTTTTCTTTCAGATCATAATTCATATAAGCAATGGAACATACATTAGGCAGATATATTTTCTGTATTAATGAAAAAATGTCATACAATTTACCATGGCAGATAGAAAACAGATGAATGTTATTCTTCTAAGATCATAACTGCTAATCTGAGAGGTGAACTGAAGCCACTGATCCCAGTTTCAGGCTAACAAAGGTATTTTTGCATTCACTGTTGCTTTTCCCCCACACATTTCAGAAAAAAATCTAGCTTTCACATGTACTATTGATAATGATTATTTCCCACTGTGGCTTGAAATAAGATTTGGAATAAATAAGCTTTAAAAAATGCAGTTTGCAATTTAAAAAGATAATGTGTTCATTCTTAGAAAAATTTGAAATTAAAAAGTTGAAGAAAAATGATAAGTATCCAATAAAACTACTATTTACATATATATTTCTTTTGTATGTTTCTATGCATATGGATAATATAGTTGAGGGCATATTGGATGCATTTTTTTCATCCTGAATTTTAAAATTAATAAATCAAGAGCATGTTTATGTCATTAACTTTTCTTTTAAAAGATACTTTAAGAATGGATTCATAATATTCCATTTCATGGATAAAGATAAACCATAATTTATTTAACAATTTCCTTATTATTAAATATATGATCATTTTTAATTTGGCATCATAATAAAATAGTAAATCAGCTTTTAAAAAGCTCTTTTCTCAACAAACTTTATCCATATTATGCACTAGTCATCTAAGGCTAAGTGTCATCCATGGATAAACTACTTGAATTTTCTGGAGATGTTTCAAGAAATCTAAGGAGCTCATAGCTTTAAATTATCAGTATATACTTTTTAATTAACTTAAAAATCATTTTTATAAAAACGGAAACCATAATGAGATATCATCTCACACCTGTTAGAATGGACATCATCAGAAAAATAAAAGATAACAAATGCTGGCATGGATGTAGAGAAAAGGGAAACCACTGCACACTGTTGTTGAAAACTGAAGCAGCTATTGTGGAAAACAGTATGAAGGATCCTCAAAAATTATAAATAGAACTGCCATATGATTCCACAATTCCACTTCTGAGAATATACTCAAAAGAAACAACAACACTAAGTCTAAAAGATATCTGCACCTCTTTGTTTACTCTAAGATATGGAAACATCCTAAGCATCCATCAATGTGAATGAATAAATAAACTGTAGCACAAATAAATACAAGGGAATATTATTCAACTGTAAAGAAAATAAGAATTTGCTACAATATGGACCTTGAAGGCATTATGATAAGTGAAATAAATCAGACAGAGAAAGATAATACTGTATGATCTCACTAATACATGGAATTAAAAAAAAATAAAAACCTTCATAGAAAAAGAGATCAGACTTCTGGATAGCAGACATGTAGGGTGCGATGTGGGAAAAAAGGAGAAAGTTGATCGAAGGTACAACCTTCCAGTTTTAAGATAAATAAGCACAAGGATATAATGCACAATGATGATTATAGCTAACACTGCTATAAGCTATACATAGGAAAATTGTTAAGAAAGCAAATTATAAAAGATCTTATCATAAGAAGAATTTTTCCCTTTTTTTCTTTATTCTCTTTATATTGTATCTATATGAGGAGATAGAGGTTAGCTGAACCTATTGTGGTAATCATTTTGCATTGTATGTAAATCAAACCATCATGCCAGATGCCTTAAACTTACACAGTGATATATGTCAATTATTTCTCAATAAACTGGAAAAAAAGATTCTTAAAAAATAAATTAGCTATATAGGAAAAAACATTTTTACATATCATCTCTTAGTTTTTCACACCAAGATTTATAGAAGTACCTTTGAGGTCATTAAAACAGAGGTGTGACTAAAGTGCATCACAACTGGAAGAATCATTATTTTTAAAACTGTGCTAAATTTCAGAGATCATTTCCTTTTGGTTTGAATCAAACTCCAAGAATTTGGGCGTTGCATTGTATTCCTTTCCAAATACTCATTCCTCCCTATTTCAATATCTAAAATGCCTTAACAACATAGAAAAAGTGACCAATTCTTTTTTTTTTTACAACTTTACTCAAGAGATGACTTAATATTAATATTTTGGTTCCCATTTTGTTCCAATCTTTGCACTTGGCCCTTAGGAGTATTTAAAATAAACATTCTAATTTTAGAGCAGTCATGAACTTTTTTTACTTAATAGCTAATTCATATTTGCAAAACACAGTCTTTTTATTTTAAAAAATATCTAGTTCATGTTATTTTCCCCCAACTTCATCTACAACTTGAGCTGGCTATTTGTTAGCATTTTATTGGCCCGACACTCATTTAAAATAAAATGGCAACAATTAGCTTAATAATTAGCTTCCAAAACTATACTATAGAGTTCCATACTATAGAGTTTAATATTTTAGTTAGCAGTTTAAGTACTCACAATATACAACACTCTCTATCAGAATGACTGCTTTAGCATTTTATTTGGAAAGGCAAAGAAGCAACAACATTAAAGACATTCTTAAAAAGTCTTCATTATTATCTTCTACAGGAAATTTATTAAATTATTGGAATATAAATAAATTTCATTCCTCTAATCTCTAGTTTAGTATTAATGTGTTAAGTGGGATTGGCTTTGACTCTAGCACTATTATATGTCAAAATACAAAAATGTCAAAAATGGAATGATAAGTCCAATAGAATATATTGGTTAATGAAACCAGATCTCCATTTTAAAACTATTAATACCTAACTGGTGATGACATTTAAATCTATGCTTTTCTAACAACAAATCAAGGTATTATTTTCTTTGAAGTTAGAAAAATAATCTTAGCATTATATAAGTTTTCTTTTTTAAAAGGAACATTAAAAACAAGTTATCTTTTATAATACTAGAAAAAAGATAAACAACCTAAAATAACTCTGTTCCCTCTGCTTCTGCATCTTGAGTTTTTCTAGGCTGATGTCAGTGACAATAAGTATTAAAAAGATGGTAACAATAACCCTATATGCAAAATAGACAGTCATTTTTAATTACAGCTGTTTTTTTAGAGTTTGGCCATACTTAACAAAAATGCAACATTGATATTGAGTTGTCTGGACTGATTAATGTATTAAGTCAACACTAAACTTTGAGACCTTTTTGAAACTTTAAGTAATCTCTTTACAAAACCTTTGCTCAAAATAAGTGATTCACCCCATCTCTGAATCTATCATACCAGACTGAGCAGTTTTTGCTATGATCTCAAGTATTCCCAAGCAAGACACACTAATCAATAGGCACTTCGGTGTTGTAAGGTTAATAGAAAAAAAAAAAAGTATATATTGGTCTCTCACTGGTTCCTGGCACAGAGAGCCTAAAATCCATGTAAATAACAAGAACTGAAGAAGATAATCTTTCTGTTCTAATATTTGATCTTTGGCCCCAGTTTCTGACATAGTTGGAACTTCCTGTGAGACAGGAGTGCCTTTTGTTCTAAAGAGGTGAGTCTTAGTGGGACCCCGGACAGGGACTGATCACCAGAAACACCAAGCCTTGTTTAGAAGCTTCGTGTTTTCAGCTCCACCATCCCCCACTCTCCAGAGAAGGGAGAGGGGCTGAATATGGAGTTCATGAAGAATCATACTACATGATGAAGGTCCAAAAACATCCCCAAAATAGGGGGTTTGGAGAGCTTCCTCTGGATTGGTGAACAGTGAGATGTCTCCCCTTCCCACAGGGCTTGCCCTCCGCATTCCTTCCATCATCCAGTCCTCCACCTTTATTTAACAATTTAGGAAACTGAGGCCCAAACATGTGGGTCAGGTGTTCAAGGCCACAATACTAAATAGCACTGCAGCTGGACTAGCATCCCAGTCTTCCAGCTTTTCAGACCAGACTTCTATTCCCTCTGCTGTGTGTCAGATAATAGTCCCCCGGCAGATGTACACAAGGACAAAAGATCCAGAGCAAAGATCCAGAGCTGACCTGCTGTGCATTCTAAGCACTATATATAGGAGATCATGATGTCTGACATTTTACAAGAAACAAGTAATAGATTCTTGTTAGTTGCCATGGCCACAAACATTTAAACACAGGAACAAACAGAAATGTAAAAATGTGGAATTGTATTTAAAGTCACTCTTAAAAATCTAATAAAAATTAGAGAGAAATGGTATCTCATATTTCTCAAGGCACCTTACTTAACTCTGAATCAGAGCATTTAATAGTGACTATAAAAAAAAAAAGAAACCTAAAGCAGAACACTCTCTTATAAGAAGGAAATACTTAGAATTATTCATTCGGACTAATCACCATTAAAAACACTCTGATAACATAATGTATTTAAATAAATAAGATTGCCTGAATATTTCTTAACCAGAAATCCCTGAGCTATCCAAGCCAAAGTTTTGATTTAAGGTGGATGTTAAAAGTAAAATTTAACAATTTTATATTTGGCATTTAAATCAACACTGAACAGAAAGCGAGAGAAGGTGGAAGGAAAATTCTTTAACCTTAAGTATGTAT